GAGAGAGAGAGAGAGAGAGAGAGAGAGAGAGAGAGAGAGAGAGAGAGAGAGAGAGAGAGAGAGAGAGAGAGAGATTGTATGTGGAACAACTCGCACAGGAAAGCGCCATGACAGAAGAACATGAGTTCACAACCTCGCTGAACCTTTACCAAGGGCAGCGAAAAACACGGAACAGTCCATGTAATGTTCACATATGGAAGTCAGACATCAACGGTTGGCACTTAGGTGCCACATAGTCATGCTTGCATTAGTGAAACCACTCCATTCATCCTGAAAAAAGAAGCACCAGCAGCAACACTGCTGCAACCTAACGGGATCCTTTGCGCATGAGAATGAAAGTGTCCGCAAAACATCAGCATTCAAGAGCACTGTTCAATCCTACCCCTTTCTTCTGTAACCAGCAGAGATCTAGAAACCATGACAAGCAAAACGCCTCTCTCTCTCTCTCTCTCTCTCTCTCTCTCTCTCTCTCTCTCTCTCTCTACACTTGGCACACACACACACACACACACACTCCCTCTGACAAACACACAAACCTACTCCACACCACTAATCTTCTAGTGACTACAAACTTACATTCCTTGGAACAAAACGACAACAACAGAGATTTCTAGTGTCCTTTCTCACTCCTTCGGAATCAAGAAATCAAAAGCATTAAAAGAGGGTTGGTCATCATGTTGCTGTCCTCCGCCTACTGCACCGCAGGACCATTTACCATAAACCCAAGTAGCTCTCCCACGCACGCTTGAGAATCGAAATTGCGTCAAGCCGGGTTCTTCAGATGACCGGTGCTACCAGACCAAAATGGTTGGCAGCGCCAACCAAAAGAGAAAAAAAACAAAGTGCGCCACCAGCAATTCCTCTCTCCCTCTAGGGCGCGGTGCAAATCTGCGTCGGGAAAAAGACGCTTGGAGGTACACTGGTGGTTCGAACCTTTCCAGGGAGATCAACCACCTCAAATTCTGCACTAGTACGAACCGTCTTCCAAACGCGCACTCATTGTGTCTAGCTGCCCAATCAAACTATCCTCAAAATGGGCACCAATAGTCAAACACGCCGACCAAGATAAAGATCACCATAGCAACCTCGGCCACTACTCTTTTACAATCTGCCATTCTACATAGCTACTCGCCATCTCAGCAAACCTAACCAGCACCTCCCGCACTCTGCCCCCTCCACCTCATTCCACTCTGCAATGACAATCAACAACCACTTTCACTCGCAACTCTACCAACCCATGGGGCATCAGCAACTTCCCATCCCACCTTGCCTCATTCTTGGCCCCTACTTTTCCCCACTTCCTTCTATTCCTCCTACTTCCCTACACCTCCCAATTCTCCACCCGTCTTTTTACCTGCTTGCTAACAATCGACTACACCGGTGTGCTTTGCTACGCATCATCGAACACTTGCTGTTGACATCCCTGAGGTCAGTTTCACTCAAAATTACAAAGCCTCCTCACAAAGTGCTCCCCCCCTCCTTCCC